CAGAACCAAACCATTGCTCGGCCACCGTTCCCCGCGGACGTATCCACGAGGATGGGGAAGCCTCCCAATGGATGGCCCATACTTGGAGGTTGTCCGACCACGTCGCCCCATGTGGAGGTCAACCTGACCTAAGATAAAACTAGCGATAGGAGTTTCCTATCCTCATTATTAACAATCTTCTAAACCCCCTATAGGCGATGGTTAACTTACCAACATGTGGGCCGACAGCTCAATCATTCTAACTAGAATACGTAGGGAAAAGGGGCTTGTTAGTAATATGGACTGATGATAATATGATCTTATTGCTAGCAATGTACCATGTCAGGTTGACCCCACGCGGTTTCCCCTGATAACCATTGTGTTAAATTCTTGGTAAATTTGTCACGATAGGCTAACTGACATGACCTCATGTTCATCTTATCATCCTCCACTAGTTCCCCGCCAGCGTAAACCGTCAGCGCAGGCGGGTGCAACATTCCATTATCACCCTTAAAGAAATCTAGAATACGAAATTACGCAAAATAATAATAAAATTACTTGTACTTGTAATATAATATATACAAAGAAAAATATATTTGATTTAAAATAAGTTCAATGGTAGTGGTACAAATAGCGTGAGCGCCTCCGGTCGCTAGATGGCGTGACCTAGCTTTAATAGTTCGACACCGCGGCATTTTGATTGCAATTTCAAAAACACGGATTTATGTCACTGATAGGGTAATAGCACTAATCACGGCCGGTCTGTGCGAATTATGTTAATGTTTGTTACATTATATGTACTTATCTCGTTATAACTAGAGAATTGTACTATTATGTGAATGAATTCTATATAACTATTATTTTAAGATATACTTTAAACTGAAAAATATAAAGTATTCGTGTAAAATACATGGCTGGTAATTAAGTAAAGAAATAGAGTAAGAAAAATGTTAAACAATCATACTCGTACACTAGATGTGTGATGAAATATTTTCAAGATAAAAATCTATTTATCCAATTAAAGAAAATAATAGAATAAAAATATTTGTTATTCAAATACACTTTGCAACTTCTAATAGTTACAAACGTTTTATAAAATAGATAATAAAAAAATAGTTTAATAGAATAGACATAGTTTTTATTCAAAATATCTCGCATAAGATTGCATGTCATAATAACTTCAGATTTTCTGTGAACAATATAAAACTAGCTTGCTTCTAAATATAAAAAAAGGATTTAGAGATAAGTTACAAAGTAAAAGAGATGCAGTGAGTCGCCTCACCTTTGGGATAACATTGTCGTGGTTATGTTACATATACAAGGTACCCACCCTATACAGTCACTAAAACATTCTCACATTATATTATTTTTATTGGCATAAATCTTTGTCGGTGACTCAAGTCCACCGTCACGCTGTGAGGTCGCCGCGGGTGGTCATGAAACCACTCTAACTGTATCCCCCAAACTCTTACAAAACCTTCAAATCAGCGTTAAATTCACTAATGAAGTTATTCGTCACGGACCAACTTACAGTGGACATCGAAACCATCGCTTTGAAATACATCGGGAACTCCTGTCAGCAAGAATTTTAGCATTCTTTCGTGTCATCTCAAAATAAACTATATCGTTCAGATAATAAGATTATTTTTTAATATGTCACTGTTATTGAGTACAAAAATTTCTGAGAATCAATTTGGTTAATAAAATTATATGAGATAACCTGCTACTGACATTCTTATTGTGATTTAGTATTTGTAGTTTGTTACTAAAATACAGTTTTTTAACTTGTTTGTTTCCGCCGAACCTCATTCAGGTCGCTAATCTCTTGGACTATACTGTAGATTTTATTCCTGTGAATTCCGCGCTTCTGATTCTAACATATAGTTACTGAAGTAGAAATTAAAACCTGGTATTGTATATACCTGTAAAAGTAAAAGTTTTTTATCTGACTAGAATGCCAAAAAAGTTGATGGAATGGTACAGTCACGATCAACTTAATGAAAACTGGTCACCTGTCGCCTATATACGTGAATAGCATCATGTATAACGCGACATCATGTGAATCCGTGGTACCCCTCCTGCGTTGCCATTCTGGGGAATTAGGATATTATTTACCCCTTCGATTGATCCCTCGTCTAATTCAAAGAGGAATCGAAATTACAACGGCATGAGCCGAGGTTCTAACCCCTAGCGGTATCCTCAGACTAAAGTCGTATCCATCAGGTGGGAGTTGGCCTTCAGCTGCGTCATAAATCCTTCTGCGAGTTTTAAATGCCATCTGCACTCGCCTCTTATCGTCCGGTTAAACTGGAAAGGTGATTGAACCTGGTAATTTCACTGTCATAGCTCAGACACCAACCGAGCTTACAGAGCAAGCTATTTGGCGGCAAAACTAGGTGATACTGAAGCGATGCGCACTTACGCAGAAAACTACGTACACAAAGGATGCCTTGATAAACCTTGCACTAGAATTATCTAATTGGAAACAATGTAAATCATTCAAGTCGGCATATGAGATCAAATGAAAAGGAATGGTGACATTATTCTTACACCGTCACCACAAACATATATTATCATATAACCGGTAAAAATATAAATAAAAACACAAGCATAATAGATATATGAACAAACAAGATTACTGAACAAAGCCGTTGTGGGATAACTCATATTTGTGTGACAGTTGACAGCGGACCCGAAACGGTAAGCGGCGCCCTGGAAATGTTTCCCGGGCTGTAAAATTGTCTACAAGCTTTTTTAGGGTTCCCTCGATTTGAAATACTATTTAAAAACCTTAAGTAGCATCTTGTATATTATATATTACCCTGTACGTATTAGAAATATTAATTTTAAATAACAATAAGTATATTGTTCTGCTGCTTTAAAGAATATACTTTGAGATCTTCCTCTTTTGAGTGATATCCGTAAGATAAAAAAGACAATCCCTTTTGATCGACGCGGACTGTAAAAAGTAGTTTGCCCCAATCTTACCTATTTTAGCTTCAAAACAGTTTTGCTGCTTGGCAGCCGAAAGAGGTAATATAAAGTTACACCTATAGATGATTTTGTATAAAGTGTTTGTACAAGGTTAACTATACTATATTTCTATTTTTACTCATTCATTATATACCCACAATTCAACTTAAAAATGTAAAATCAGAGAAATTATTTAAAAGAGCAAAGCGTAAGTTTCTTACTCGTTCTTGTAAGAAAGCTTTCCGAATGAGCACTAGCTTCAAAAAAATAAGTGCTGCTCTAATAAAGTGCTCAAATTTAAGTTTATTTCAAGAATTTTCTTTACTATTCTATTTATTTTAATCACCATAGTTATGTATGTAGGTAGGTACTTTCAATAGCTGAGCCTGGTAGGGTCGATGGAATTGTAATAATCGAACTGTCACCAGATGATTGAGTATTGTATATTGCTCCTTCGTGCTTCTTTATACATTTAATTAACAATGAATAAAGAAATGTATTATATCTATAAATAGTATAGGTAAATTCACTATTTTCGTCTACCTATTTCTCTACTTACTTCTTACAAGCCAACGATTTTGTATGTAATTGGTAGAGAAAACAAGCTGAGGGTTCATCTGATGATAAGTGTTAACTATCACCTATTACTTAACTACACATGCAGCACTACGAGTATGACATTATTGTGTGTCACCGGTGAAAACCACACTTACCATGCTGGAGGAGTAAGCTGCCTTGCCTGTTCAAATAGGTACCTATTTCAGCAACCACACGACCAGCTGCCAGACAATTATTTACAAAGTATTTATAATATTGTTGGGGGACTTTACTCATGTGTAGGGGCCCGATATGTGTACGTATGATAGGTATTTGAATACATGTGTATGCTAGAGTAATATATAATCGCGTCCTAATCATTGTAGTTGCTCGCTCGAGTTATGTAACAATACATACAATAAACAAAAGTCAGATTATACAGCGTATTATTTCCGTCACCGTCTGGAGACCTATAAGGTTTAGAACCCAAGATTTCTTAGATTTTTTTATATAAACGGTATATACACTGGTAGATCGGAAGGTCAGAATGAGAGGATTAGGACCAAATCAGAGTTGCCTAGTGTTTGCGCCTGTATACCTATTTTCCTTTCCTTACGCATTTAGACCACACCTAGGATTTTCCATGTAAGCAACAAGGAAACTGGACAATTCTGATTTTCTGTCCAAGGGTGTGTAGTGTATAGACCAACAACCATATATATAAAGGCGTAATCTATAATACTCCAGAGTTCGGATATACATTTACATTACAAAAAAAAATACATTTACATGGCGACAGTGATAGGACGATTGAGTGAAGGTCAACCTAACTTTGCCAGCAATGGGATTACTGGACTTCTAAACTATTCCCCTCTTTCCGCCATTTACATTTTGCATCTATATATATGATTGGAATGACAAACATGCTGACGGCCCACCTGAAGGTAACTGTTAACCGTCGCCGTTACACACATGAAAAGCACTATAAAGCTAATCGCTGTCACTTCCTACTACAACCCTATTACAGAGTATCCTGACGACCTTGGCTAAACAAGGACAGTGATACTTAAGCGAGGCGATGGTCTGTGAATGATTTATATCTTCCATTTCGTTCACATTCTCATCCCTCGGAGGGACAATGTGTGAATTGGGATTGTATTCATTGAACATTCTCTGTATTATCTGCCTTTATGGGGTGCTATAATTATTGTTAAGTTCCGTATAAACTAATAATGAAAATGAAATGGATAGAAATAGTTTTATACGTTTAATATTGATTTTATATATATATATATATGTGCATAACGCACCTTTTTATATGATAATTATATTTTTTTATATATATATTTAAATATTTTATGTTTCGTTCGAATTTTATTGTCACTTTGAAATATATGTCTTTTACCATCAGCGACCGTAGTTTCTCTTGTAACTAAAAATATAATATAAAATATATACAGTCCTTAGAAACATTAATAATTAAAATATTGGTCCTCTCGCCAACAAAGACAATGGTAAAGACACGTTCAACAAAAAAAACGAGTGCATCTGATGTGGAACAGGGCCAGTCTTCTACCGTACATCACGGAAGCCCTGGCATTCCCTCGTCGAGTGTAATCGCTAAAACCACTGGAGTTCCCAGCAGCGCGGCTAGTTCTGTTTCAGGTTCTTCAGCTACCATAAGAAGTCGTACTCTAGAAATTGAAGCAGACTATGCCCAAAAAATAGCAATCTTGGAGCGGGCTACCCTCGAACGTGAGCGTATCGTATTGGAACGAGAACGTGCTGCTTTAGAACTACGAAAAGAAGCACAAATTGCCGCTTTGGAGGAAAGAGGTAGCGTACGTAGTAGTCGTCGTTCCAAAAGTTATATTTCTAATAGGGAGGTTCGGAAATGGCTAGACACATGTTTAGACACTGCTATAACTACGATAGACGTAGATTTGCAACCGCAGAACGTTAATATAAATGTTCCTTGTAGCGAATCAGCTATTAATAAAATAAATCGTTCTGCGGCAATTCCAGCACCTCTACAGACACGTAATAGCACCTATACTATGCCTGCCACAAACTCTCAAAACGTTCTCCGTCCTGTCTTAAAAGAACATATGACTAACGATTTAATAATTAGTAGAAGCCCCGCGAGGCCGATTTGTAGTTCAACTACAATTAAACCCATTTCTTCAATTGAAAAATCGCCTAGTGACATAACCTTATTAGCACAGGCCATCACCTCATTATCAAATAATAATAAGCACAAGACGTTTGGAGACGGGCGTCTTCCGGTCTTTGACGGGAAGCCTTTGGACTGGTTGACCTTCAAGCGTGTATATGACAGTACACAAGCAGCATACTCGGCTTCGGACAACTTGACTCGGATTGGTATGGCGCTGCGAGGAGCGGCACAAGATTCTGTGGCGGTACTACTAGTCTCTGCGCGAGACCCTATCGAGGTAATACAGGCTTTAGCATTAAGATTTGGCAGAGCTGAATTAATTGTCTTACAAGAAGTTGCGTCAATCCGTTCGTTACCAAAGGTCAACACCGATTCTAGTGATCTTCATAAATTCTCTTGCCGCGTCCGTAATTCAGTGGAGGTAATGAGACTTTTAGAACAAAGACCCTACTTGGAATCACCAGAGCTCTTTCAATCGGTACTTAGTAAACTTACTCCTCTATTACGAACACGATGGGCTGACTACGCAGCTACTCATTTCACCCAGAGGACTACTAAACTTGAGCTGCTAGCCTCCTTCCTTGCACAAGAGGTGGACCTACAACTCAAGTTCGGTCTTCTCAATGAGCCTATTAATTACCCTAAAAAAGCCGACAAAGTCCACACGGTTAACACGTACAAACCATCTACGTCCACGGCCCCGTATATTTATCAGTCTGAAAATCATGAAAAATCATCAAATCCCATATCCAACAATAAAAAGATATGCTTATTTTGTAATAACGAACATAGTTTATCTCATTGTTGTGATTTTAAGACATTGTCAGTTGATGACAGGTGGAAATTTGTAAAAGGGAAAAAACTTTGTCACAAATGTCTCAAAAAAGGTTTGCACAATTATAAAAACTGTGATATTTCTAAAGAGATTTGTACCAATGAAAAATGTAATTCTAGACATCATAAATTATTACATATTGCCTATGTGGTTGAAAATGAGGATGAACAAGGTGAATCGTCTTCCACTCCTCACTCTGGGGAACTTAAGAGTTCTGATGAATCCTCGAGCAAAGAGACGACTGATTTCGTTGCTCACGCTAGTAGTTCGTTTTCACCAAGTAATAATAATAAACATCCGAATTATCGACCTTTCTTAAAAATAATAGCTGTTACGATCTCTGGTCCACGTGGTAGTATCAATACTCATGCTTTATTGGACGACGGGTCCACATCTACTTTTATAGATTCGGAACTCGCAGCTCAAATTGGAGCACGGGGTCCATGTGTACAAACTCACTTAAAATGCGTTGGGGGGTTGTCAAAATATACAAAAATGGAATATGTCAATTTCAACATTAAGGGTTGTCACACGGATGAAATACATCAGGTTAGACAGGCCCGTTCTATTAAAGATTTACAGTTAGCTAGACAATCAATTTATCCTAAAAATATTAATGAATTTTCTTATCTTTCTGACTTAGTACCATTTTTATGTTATGATGATGCACAACCAAAGATTGTGATCGGTATTGACAACTGGCATCTCACTATTCCTCAATGCGTACGGAATGGTACAAAGTCGCAGCCAGCTGCAATTAGAACTGCTTTAGGTTGGGTATTGTTCGGTTTTCGCAGTAGTAGGACTAGTCCGGTCGACATAGTGAATCATGTTCTATTTGACGAGTCTGACTTCCCATCTACTGACAATAGTTCATTAGAAAACCTTATTAAGAATTATTATAGGTTAGATTCAATAGGTATTAGTAAAAAAGAACCACGCAGTACAGCAGATGCGTGCGCTATCGAAATTTTAGAGCGCACTGCCAACCGCCTTCCATGTGGTAGGTTTGAAGTAGGTTTATTATGGAAACCTGACAACCCTATTATACCAAATAGTTATTCTCTTGCTTTATCTCGTTTTTTAAGTTTGGAGAAGAAAATGATTAGTGACCCAGGCTACGCTGAGCGCTATAGACAAAATATTCACGACCTCGTTAGTAAAGATTACGCTGAAATATGTCAGAATGAGCCATCTTCGAATTCCGTATGTTGGTTTTTACCTCATTTTGGCGTAGTGAATCCTAACAAACCGGCAAAACTGCGTGTAGTCCATGATGCTGCCGCTAAAATTAAAGGGGTTAGTTTAAATTCACTTTTACTTACAGGGCCAGATTTATTACAATCATTATTCGATATTTTGCTTCGATTTAGAGAAGGAAAGGTAGCGATGACAGCTGACATTAAAGAAATGTTTCCTAGATTTAAAATTATTAAACAAGACAGGGATGCGCAACGGTTTTTGTGGCGTGATAACCCTAATGTACCCATAACTACCTACAGGATGTCCTCTATGATTTTTGGTGCAGTGTCGAGTCCCTTTACGGCTATATATATGAAAAATAAAAACGCTTTAGAAGTTAAAGATCAATATCCCGAAGCAGTGCATGGCATTGTATATGACACTTATATGGACGACTATATAGGTTCGGTAGATTCCAGTGATAGAGCTGCTCAGTTAGCTGTCGATATTGTCCATGTCCATGCTCGTGCAGGACTGGAAATGCGCGGATGGGTATCGAATGACCCGAATGCACTTCGTTTATTACCAAAACATCTTTTATCGGAATCAGTATCTGACATTAACATCGATCTAGCAAATCTTCCGTCCCTGTCACCATGCGTCCGTGCATTAGGATTATACTGGCACCCTTCTAGAGATCTCATAGGTTTTAATACCCCAATTAAACAAGGCCAAGAGACCTTGCCCAATCCGCTTACCAAGCGTGTAATATTATCTTTAATCATGCGAGTTTTCGACCCGTTAGGAATCCTCGCGCCTATCGTTATTCGCGGTCGTATTTTACTCCAAAATGCTTGGCGAATGAATTTAGACTGGGATATCGAGCTCCCTAACTCTGAAACCATTGCATGGAATAATTGGTTTCAGGATTTAATTACTACCGCCAAGATAAAAATTCCGCGTTGTTATAATCATCATTTTTTGCAACCAAGTCAAACCGAGTTACACGTCTTTGCCGACGCCAGTGCCCAAGCTTACGGAGCAGTAGCATATTGGCGCTTTACATACTCTAACGGAGACGTACAACTCGCTTTGGTCTGTAGCAAGTCACGTGTAGCTCCTTTGAAACCATCTAGTATTCCTAGATTAGAATTACAAGCTGCATTAATAGCCGCACGTTTAGCTACCACCATTGTAGAAGCAGTAAAATTTAAACCTATAAAACGCACATTTTGGTGCGATTCAATGAATGTTTTGGGTTGGCTTCGCAATGATTCACGATCATACAAAACATTCGTAGCTCATAGAGTAGGTGAGATAATTGAACTCACGGATGTTAGTGAGTGGCGTTGGGTTCCTACTAGTCTTAACTTTTTTTTTTTTTTTTTTTTTTTTTTTTTTTTTTTTTTTTTTTTTCTCGACTGGCAACATTACCGATAACTGTCTTTGTCAGCTGGCCGTAATAATTAAATACTTTTATATAATTTACTACTCGATTTTTTTAGTGCAATTGATATAATTAGTGAGTTTAAGCTATAAGAAGCATCTATTGTTGTTTGTGTTCATTTTTATATTGTATTTGTGTACAAAAATCGACACAAATATTTCCTACCGGTCAACTGTCAAAGTTCGTAATAAACTTATATTTACATCAATCTTGTATATGTTATCGCGTAATTCAATTTAAATTATTATAACATTCCTTTATTATTACTTGTTTTGTGTTACATGTTAATATTGTGGTAATTTTAAAAGTGAATTCAAGTTGTGCGTCGAGGAAAAAAAAAAAAATTACCCACTAACCAAATATTATTGTAAGTACTAACTGTAAGTTCTTACATATAATAATCTTTAGTATTGTTATTTATATTTAACATATTTACTAACATTACTTACATATTATATATTTATAAATAAATTTTATTGTAAGGAAATAGCACAAGTTTTAAATTCCATTTAATTCCTTTATATTTAAATTTATTACTCAGCATATTTAATAATGATGTCCCGAAGAGCCTGTGATCTTGATGCTAAACTTAAGGTGGCACTCGTTGAATTAAAGAAAACCCAAGACTTGAATAAAGTATTGTTACAGGAACGGGATGATAGTGAAATAGAGATGAAATCTCTATTTGACAAATATGTGGCCCTGAAGGGGGAACTTGTAAACATTAATGTATTCTGTGAAGACCTACGCGTTGACAGGGATAGACTTCAGGAAATTGTTAATGAATATGATCACTGCAGGGACACATATGAGTCAAATCTACAGCGTATCACTCACCTCGAGAGACACCTTAAGGAAGCTCAAGCACATAGTGAATCTATGTTGGAACACAAACGGGTGAGTAGCTATAATAACACCTTAGATCTGTATACAGAATTGTTAAATGTCACTTGTGATCAAAAGTCTACTCAGCCGTTGGTGACCATAGATTTAACAAATACACCCAGCTCAAATAGTTGTACTAGTCAATTTAATAGTGTCAATAAATTAAAAAAATATATAAAAATAAACAAATTTATTAAAAAGTCAGAAAAGTTAGTGAGAACTCATACTAAATGTTTAAAATCTATAAATATTAGAAGACAAAAATTAGACCTGTTACAAGAACTTCAAAATTGTAAAACAAATTTACATGATAAGGATTTAGAACAAAATAAATTAAAGAGTAAAATTCAAGAGTTGGAATCTTTATTATATAATTTAACAAATAAATATGAGTGTGCTCAACATGAAATTAATAACTATAGTAAATCACTGGATAAATTAATAGAGTTGGGTAATTACAACATGGAGCGGTTCACCTCATTGACAGAGAAATGTTGTTGTGAGACACCTGAATCTCCTAAATCTTGTCAATATAGCCCTAATGGAAATAACAATAAGTCAATCACATCAGTCTTGACTGAGTCAATCACTCCTTGTTCAAATTTACTCAATTCTAACTTGTCTTTAAAAACTGATAATTGTAATGTTGCACCAGTACGAAGGACAATTATTTATTCAGATGAATATGGTAAGGGTTTGGGCCGTTCATTATCAGAAAGTTTATCTCAACATGTTATAAATAATTGTCTACCTGGTGCTTCATTGCCTAATATTTTAAATAAGGTGGTTAATGGTAGGTATGATAAGTTAACCACATTAGTCATTGCTTTAGGCAACTGTTTAAATGTAAAAAAAAGTCATGTCATTAAACTTGTAAACTCTTTGCTTAATATTGCTGAGCTGGGCATAGGTAAAATAATTTTATGTGCATTTCCTTACTGTCATTCTCTGACTATTGAACAAAATAAGTTCATATATTATATTAATAATTTAATTTATAATATGACTTGTCGTCATAATGACTTTTTATTTTTTGATAGTAACAAATTTGTTACAAACTTTTGTATGACTGGAGATAGATTTTATCTGCCTAAAAAACAAATAAGAAATATAGCTAGTTTACTAGCTTATAATATAAATGACCCCATTATAAGTAATATAATGGGTTGCACTAATCCAATTAGTAGTATTTGTACTAATGTTAATACTAAACATTCTGAAAATATTGACATAAATATTGATTCTAGTAAGAATCCTTTTATTTACAATAATTTAAATATGACTGCAGATTTAAACTGCTGAAAAAGACAAAGGGAAAGCTATCAGAATTGAAAATTGTTCACCAGAACATACAAAGTTTTCTCGGCTGTGAATTAATTATTCAATTGTTTTTAGAAAAAAATAATATAGATGTTCTATGTTTAACTGAACATTGGCTCAAAGTGAGCAATATGATGTTAAGCTTAAACAATTATAATATTGTCAGCTGCTTTAATAGAAAAATAGTAAATAGAGGAGGTTCCATGATATTGGTGAAAAATAATATAAAAGTAAAAGAACGTAGTGATATTGGCAATCTTTCCGTTGAGTGTTGTATTGAAATTTCCTGTGTGGAACTAGAAAATTATATAGTTATGTGTGTATATAGACCTCCAAATAGTGATTATAATTTATTTGAAGAGGTAATGGAGGATATTTTAAAAAGAGTATTTAATATTAACAAAAAAATTATAGTGTGTGGTGATTTCAATGTTGACATTTTATCACATAACACCACAAAAACTAAATTAATGAGTTTATTTCAATCTTTTGACTTGAGTAATGTCTTCCACGAACCCACTCGTATCACAGCCACGTCTGCTACTTGTTTGGATAACATATTTAGCAACAGTGAATATTTAGATAAAATAATATTAAACAACCTTCCTTCTGATCACTGTGGTCAATTAGTAATTTTTCCAAATCACGTAAACAAAATTAGGAAAATTAATTTATTAAAAAGAGACTTGACTAGTTATAAGATAAATAAATTTAAAATATCAGTTCGTAGTAAATTAGATTTTTGTCCTCAATCTGATGAACCTAACAAACTTTATACAGATTTCTTCAATATTGTTTCTTACGAATATAATAAGGCTTTTAACAAAAAAACTATCAGTATTAGTAACAAAACAAAATTTTCAGAATGGGCTACAAAGGGAATTCTTAAAAGTAGAAATATATTATTTGATTTATATGATCAAAAAAAATACCGTTTCGATAGTACATTCGTAAATTATGTAAAAAGATACTCAAAAACTTTTAAAAAGGTATGTAATGTAGCAAAGTCTAATTATCTAAATAAAAAAATTAAAGAATCCAAGGATAAGATTAGGACAGTGTGGAATATTATTAATAAAGAAACTGGCAAAGTTAAAAGTCCATATAATGATTTTACGTTAAATTATAATGATAAACTAGTAACGTCCACAAAAGAAATAGTCAATATTTTTGAAAAATTTTTCGCTAGTATTCCAACTGATATTACGTCCTCTTTGAACTCTTCTCCAAGTACAGCTAAATCATTCCTTATTGACAATGTTGCTTCGTGTCCGGTTACATTTAAATTTACATTTATTGACATTGCTACAATTACGAAAACATTTAAACAATTAAATTTAAAAAATACTGAAGACCATTGGGGCATGTCTGTTAAAGTTATTAACACCGCTATAGATGTTATTGCTCCATATTTAGTAACTATCTTCAATAAATGTATTTTTGACGGTGTTTTTCCCAATTTAATGAAACATAGTAAAATAACTCCACTTTTTAAGTTAGGGGATAAAACTGAAGTAGGTAATTATAGGCCCATTTCTATCTTACCAGTACTAAGTAAAGTGTTTGAAAAAATTATGCTCAATCAGATGCTTCACCACTTTAAAATAAATAGACTGCTTCACAGTCGGCAATTTGGTTTCACGGCCGGTAAATCAACTACTGACGCTGGTGTAGCTTTAATGAAACACATTTTTGACTGTTGGGAGAGGTCACAGGATGCTATCGGTGTATTCTGTGACCTCTCAAAAGCATTTGATTGCGTTGATCATGAAACACTCTTACTCAAATTAGAATATTACGGTATTAGATATGAAGCACTATGCATGATGAAATCCTATCTAAATAATAGAATGCAAGTTGTTGAAATAAATGGTGTAAAGTCTGAGGGAACTAGTATTAAAATGGGTGTTCCTCAGGGCTCTATTCTAGGTCCTTTCTTATTTTTAGTTTACATAAACGATCTTCCTTATATGGTAGAAAAGATAGCTGACATAGTTCTGTTTGCTGATGATACTTCATTAGTATTCAAAGTCAATCGACATATTGATGATATGGACGAAGTAAACGGTTCTCTCTCTTATGTTTTAAAATGGTTTACGGCAAATAATATGCTACTAAATGCAAATAAAACTAAATGTATCAAATTTACTCTCCCCAATGTAAGGCCGGTAGATTCAAAAATCGTATTGGACAATAAATCTATTAATTTTGTTGACGATACTGTATTTCTAGGTATCACATTAGATTCCAAGTTGCAATGGGGTGCTCATATTACTAAATTGGCGAGTCGACTTAGTTCTGCCGCTTACGCGGTAAGAAGAATTAGACAATTAACAGACGTGGCAACGGCTAAACTTGTCTATTTTAGCTATTTCCATAGCATTATGTCGTATGGTATTTTGTTATGGGGCAAAGCAGCTGATATAAATACAATATTTACTTTACAAAAGAGGGCCATTCGCTCCATTTATGGTATGGGTTCCAGGGAGTCATTGCGAGAGTGTTTTAAGGAATCAAATATCCTCACCGTTGCTTCTCAATACATTTATGAAAATATCATCTATGCCAGAAGGAATATAGACAGTTTCAAAAGAGTTAGTGATTGCACTAATAAAAGCTTACGTAACAATAACAAACTGATTTTACCTAAATGTCGTTTGGCTAAAGTTAGTAATTCGTTTTATGGCAATTGCGTAAGGTTTTACAATAAAATACCAGAGTCTGTTATAAATCTGCCAGAAAAAAGATTTAAATGTCAAATAAAACAGTTCCTTTGCAAAAAAGCTTACTATAAAATTGAAGAATTCGTTAACGATAATAATGTTTTTATAGAAAAACTTTAAATCTATAGCACTGACAATATTATCTGATTACATTAATAATGAGTGCGTAGCGACTTCTATGTTGATTATCGCATGCCTCTTACTTGTGATACTGTAATTATTTATATAAAAAAAAACATCTATTAAAAAGAGCAACACACAAGTTTCTTGCTCATTCTTCTTGTGATGAATCTGCATTCCGAATGAGTGGTAGAATCAAAATATGACTATTCAAAAGTGCTTGTAATGAGTTTATTTGAATAAAGATTATTTCTATTTCTATTTCTATTTCTATTTAACGTTGCTGACGATACGACGCGTTTGGACCGAGGTCCATTAACTCCAGACTCGCGTTGGATAAAGGGACCTAACTTCCTTCTTACTTCCGATTGGCCAAAAGAACCTAGTGTTACTCATACTCACCCTATTGATATCGCTCCTCAACTCGAAACTCATATTCATCTCATTAATGAAACGGTGGTGTTGCATAGTCCGATTTCAGCTGACGCGCGACGATTTAGTTCATGGATTCGATTAGTTCGTACAACAGGCTATGCTCACCGTTACTTATCATTGTTACGTTTGGTCTCATTAAGAAAAAAAGGCCTTAATATAGAACTCATTCATAAAGTAGAAGGCCACATTTTCACTTTTCATTCACCATTCAATCCAAACATTAATCAGCAATGTAATAATATACGTAGCACACTAAACTCGGACGATTTACTTTTAGCAGAAAATCACGTGTTACGTAGAAGCCAATTAGACTCGTTCTCACAAGAAATAAAATCTATTACAATCGGTATACCTGTGTCACACCGTAGCAGATTATCAAAATTACCAGCTGTTATTGATAAAAACAACATATTACGACTATCCACTCGTATCGTAGCAGCTTCCGACATAAATGAAGATATGAAATCTCCGATATTGCTTGATGGAAAGCACCCTACTGTCCGGCTACTCGTGCTACATTATCACCGCAAGGCAGCCCACGCCAACACAGAAATGGTTGTCAACGAGCTACGACAACGTTACTGGATTTTAAATCTTAGAAGCACAGTTAGATCAGTAGCCTTCAATTGTCAATTTTGTAAAGTTCGCCGTTCTGTGACATATCAACCGACTATGGGTAATCTTCCAACAGCCAGACTCGCTCACCACTGCAGACCTTTCTCATTTGTAGGTCTAGATTATTTTGGGCCCGTAACAGTAGCAGTTGGGCGTAGAAGAGAGAAACGTTATGTGGCTCTATTCACATGCTTGTCAGTTCGAGCAATCCATCTTGAGATCGTCCACTCACTTTCATCAGATGCTGCTATAATGGCATTACGACGCTTCATAGCTCGCCGTGGAACACCTTCGGAAATCCATTCTGATAATGGAACTAGCTTTGTGGGAGCAAACAGGGAGCTGAGAGCCTTGTATTCAGAAGTAACTTCCAATTTTGCGGCTGGAGAAATGATTAAGTGGAAATTCATACCTCCATCTGCTCCATTCATGGGAGGGTCTTGGGAGAGACTCGTGAGGTCCGTAAAGACAGCCTTAAAAGTAACTCTGGGCAACAATATTAGATCACCTACTGATGAAGTATTCTCCACATTACTTTGTGAAGCAGAAGCACTGGTAAACTCACGCCCCCTAACACACGTGGCTTGCGACCCCCAATATCCAGAGGCACTAACACCATCACACTTTCTGCTTGGTTACTCTTCAGGACGTCCCATCCCAGCCAATTTAACGGACAGCGATATATGTAGTAGAGCAGGCTGGAGGAGAGCACTACGTATGGCGGATCATTTTTGGAAAAGGTGGATAACCGAGTACCTACCTACATTATCACCAAGAAAATTCGTAGGTAAAGTGCCACAAGTTTCAATTGGAGATATCGTTATAGTCGTTGACGGCACACTACCTAGAGGTACTTGGCCTAAAGGCCGAATTACAGCTATGTATCCGGGTAAGGATGGCGTGACACGGGTCGTAGACGTTAGTACTCAGGCAGGTGTGCTACGTAGACCGATTAAGAAAATCATCCCTATTTGTTAAGGGAGGGAGCATGTGCATAACGCACCTTTTTATATGATAATTATATTTTTTTATATATATATTTAAATATTTTATGTTTCGTTCGATTTTTATTGTCACTTTGAAATATATGTCTTTTACCATCAGCGACCGTAGTTTCTCTTGTAACTAAAAATATAATATAAAATATATACAGTCCTTAGAAACATTAATAATTAAAAATATATATATATTAAAATTATTTAAGTAAATAAACAATGACAAATTATACATACACATTGTGCTGTTTAAATTATTTAGGATTGTTATGATATCGGAGTCTTTTTATCTAAAAAATAGCAGATAAAATCATGAATAATAAAGTCATCATCATTGCCTTGCCTTTATACCATTATTTGGGACCGGCGTAGTATGTCTTCCACCCATTGATCCCCATTGCCTTCAAATCATCTGCTTACTTTTCAGCATACAATCCATCCATCTTTTTTGGTCGTTCTTTCTCTGACCATCCATGAACGTGTTAAATGTGACATAGTCCTCGCTCCACCGCATCACATGCCAGTACCAAGTCAATTTGTTACCTCGCAACTGACTGCAACCAAAAAACCTTATAAAACAAGCGGTTAAAATATATGAGACAAATTTAGAGTACCCACGCACATGTGGGTAGTGTGCCCACATGTGCGTGGGTACTCTAAATTTATCTAAATTTGGGACTTTGTACAACGTTAACGTTGGTAAAATTATAATATTGTAATACAAGCTGATCTGTACAACTTCGCCTATGTCACACAGATTTTTCCCGTTTTTGCAACAGTTTTCATTGCAGCTCCGCTCCCATTGGACAGAGCCTGCAATTATATAAGCCCGTAGATATCTATCTACATATAAATGTAAGAACGCGTCCAAATATAAAAACCAATTTCTGTGTACGTTTGCTAATATATATTTTATTTACATAAGTGTATATAATATTATATTTCCACTAATGCGCCACCTACTCTATTTTTGTAAATACTCTCTTTTTCCCAAGGTTGTCTGTAAGAGATTGCATTACCGATAAGACCGCCTTTTGTACTTAGTTTTATTTTTTATGTCTTTAATTTTATTCATGTCCTTTATATGTTAGTGGAATAAGGTGTTATAAATAAATAAATATTATAAAACTTTCAATATGTACCGTGTAACCATGTATATAAATTATTTAATTTTTTTCGTTATTTCCTCAAAAAATGGCTTATCCAACGTTATAATAATTTAAAATCGAATTAGTAATATCAGTTTTGGAGATTACCCTGAATATCCAAACTCAAAAATTTTACCTCTATAATATAAAATATTGAAGATATTCGTCAATAAAAATTAAGAGTATTGAAGATAACAAAATGTATTACTGAACTATATATTAGTACCTAGTACTCGTGAGTTCATACACATCTGTGTGTGAACTCTGTACAAATATATCTATATTTGTTTATCACTATATATAATTTATAATCAAACGACTAAAATAAAAAAAACATGTATACTACGCCCTTATCCGATTAATTAATTAAATTGTAAGTGGTGTATTTAAAACTTTAACAAAATCAATTGTTTGCCCTATTGGGAATATTTTTCACAGCTTTCTTTAGTCTATATGATGACCTATATGTAAGAACATTATCTGTAAAAATGTCATGATAAATCGTCCAGCCGTTTTATGTGAATGCGCGAACAGATAAACAGGTCGTTTTAGCCTCCCACGCTTTACGACATTATTAGATATAGGTACTATGTTGTATGCAAAGAAGATTAGATTAGATTACCTACCTACGTAACTAATATACAACGAAATACAGGCAAAACATCGTTGGGTTAATCCAACACAATTCATGTCCCAAATAGCTGAACATTTTCAGAAATGTTGCCCCACTTCCAATACAAGATATCAACGGACCGAAAAAAAATTCGGGCCCTACAATGGCGCGCGGCAAATAAAAATAATAAATGCGCAATTCTTTAGGCGGGGCTGTAAAACTGTCGGTGCCACGCGTGCCCTTCAGTTGTTCGACCTCCGGTTTGGGAGCCCTGCCGATTGATGCGATGTCAGGGGTGTACAACTGTTTAGAATTATGATTCTAGTTTTTTTTAATATACCTTGCTTATATGGTTGTTATTGGAATAACACACTCGACTGCGTTAGCGCTATATTCTGGAGAGGTACCTGAGAGCTAAGCGAATTCACCAGGAATGAAGCAGGATGGTTTCCAGGGGGGTCAAAGTATATTACCAAAGAATAGGGTTACTAGTCACCACAATACTAACAGTCCCCTCCTACCTTTACGGCTTGTCCCAGATATAATTGTGACCAATGCAACACTTTAATACTTTTTTTCGCTAGATATATTTGAATCTAACATGGAAAGGGGCAGTCTCTTCGATCAATTTTATTTCATTATCAGGGTTCATCACTGAAGTCTGTAAATTTTTAGTGTCTGTAGTGTCTTGGTCTAACTTAGGGTAGAAAAAATCTTACCTTCATTGACGATTGCCGATTGATAATAGCATATGATGGCGGTAAGCTTACTCTTTGCTACGTTTGTTGGACTTAAGCATACATAATACAATATGAGTATATCAAGTGTTCACAGCTTTGTTCATAGACGTCAACAACTCTGACTACCCCTCATAGAATAATTGACGTGAAGCTATATTCTTCATATATGATTAAAAATATCATATTATACACACAACAAAATAATCTAAAAAATATCCAGCAAAATTATACAATCTTATTCAATTAGTCCAAATTGTGTTTTAAGTTATCCAGGAACTCGTATACATTTCATCGAAATCTGTCCAGCCGTTGAGAAGTTAGATGATAAACACACGTAAAGAAATTTTATATATAAATTAAGATATTGTCAGTGGACGAAAGAAATACCGGCAAGTTAATTTATTGACTTCGGCACCTCATTATTTAAGCTCTGTATTGAAAGTTAGATCTCTCCGAAGGGTTAAATTTAACTTTTGTGAAAAAAACTTCGATGCCGCCGGGACGTTAAGTTGGAGTCCCGCGAAATAGAATATCCGCGATGTTTAAAAGTTAATGTTAACAATTACAATTTTGGAAAAGATAATTTATGCCATTACTTAATTATTAATACAGAATTACGTCTAATATTATATTTTATAAAGATAACGGCCTCGGTGGTCTAGCGGTTTGGCACACCGCCTTACTCCGGTCGCAGGTTCGATTTATCAGTATGGTTGTTTGTAACGGTCTGGGTGTTTTCTATGTGTAATATGTATATATTTACGGAAAAAAATCTATGTATTTGAATCAGTGGACTAGTACCCATAACATGCTCTAGCTAGTTTAATTTAGGTCTAGATGGCGCTGTGTGAATTGTCCTGAGATAATTATTATACAAACCTCCGTGGTGTAGCAAGTTACCACTGCACTTCACTTTCCGAGGTTACAGATTTGATGCCATTTTTTAACAAATTAAAATCAGCTATTGGTTCTTTTTCTAGGTATATTATATACAATAGACCCGTAGTTTTTGCGTGATGCGTTCAAACATGAATCCTAAAATCTGGAATTTTGACTTCTGTTGTTCTAATAAAGACCGATTGTTGGTTATCTTTTAAGTATTAATGTAATAGCTTCTCTGTCTGTTGAGTAATCGTCTCTCTATCTGTTTGTTATTTTTTTACGACTAATGAAAGGATCTTAATTATATTTGACCTGAAGAGGCATACCTCATATGTACTAGCTGACGCGCAAAATCGCCTGTGTGATCATTTCCTTGACATTTATCATTATATTTCGCCTAATTTACACAATATAGTATACTAGCTACTTGCCCCGGCTTTGCACGGGTGTACATGCATTATATATATAAACCTTCCTCTAGAATAACTCTATCTATTAAAAAAAACCGCTTCAAAATCTGTTGCGTTGTTTTAAATTTTAAACATATATAGGAGCGGACAGACGGCGACAGCGACTTTGTTTTGTACTATGTAATGATATAATAAATTATAGCCATGTGTTATTCTGATGTATAAGCTATATTACTGTGCAGTTTCATTAAAACCTGTTCAGTAGTTTTTGCGTGAAAGAGTATCAAATATAACAACAAACTCAATCCACACTCACAAACTTTCGCGTTTATAATATTAATAAGAAAAGATTATGAAGATGAATATAAAGCAGGCAAAATCCCGGGTGATTTCAGTATAGTATAAAAAGTAAATAGTATTTTAATAACGTCTTAAATGATCATGTGTAACAATTATTTATATAGGTGACGGTTACGACATGCCGTCAGGTGAGCTGTCAGCTTCTTTGCTATTTTAATTACATAAAAAATAACTTTTGTGGAAATTGATTATTATACATAAAGTTATAAGGTCATTTTTTCAAGGTCTATGTTTTTTTAATCTGGGGTCAGTAGGCCGACCACAATAAAGAGCAATAAATCTAACGCTCGACTTTGACAAATGAACACGAAAGTACAGTCGGACGCCGCTCAAGTTATAAACGAGACACTGAAACGCCTGAAACTTTGCTACGCTGAGTAGTTACGGGGAATATGTGTTTTTTCTTCGTGTAATATAACGAATGATAGCAATAATGAACGTTTTCATCGAGTTTTATTCTTGTTTACTTAAGTTTTTGTTTCAGATTTACTCTGACGTTTATTGTATACATAGACTTTGTATAAAGTCATCTTTAGTGAGATAGTCAGTTAATGACCTCGGTGGTTTAGTACACTGCCTTACTTTTCGATAGTCGCGGGTTCGATTCCTCGTACATTCACACATTCAGGAGTTTTTGCGTTTATAATATTAGTAAGACAAGAGAATAAACAAACTAACATTACAGGTTGTATAACATATGTATACCTTTTTTCAGCAATATGCTTTCTATTTATATTTTTA